GAAGTTTTTAATTTTAATCAAGTTCAACTGATTTTTTTCTTCTGTGGTTCATTCTTTTAGCACAATATTTTAAAACTAATCTCCTAAGTCAAGATGTTGTAGAACTTCCTCCTGCATTTTTAGAGATTTTATAGTTAGATGTTTTATATTTAGGTCTCTGATATACTGTGATATGATTTTTGAGTAATATACTCTCTTTTCTGTTCCATTTATCCTTGAGCCTACTCTTTCACCAGTTCTGTGTTGATTATGGGAGCAACAGGAAAATCCTGAAGTCAGGTAGCATCAGTTTTGAGCTCTGTTTTTTTTCTTTGGTATTTGATTATTCTGGATATTTTGCCTCATGATGTAAAGTTGACAGTAAGTTTGGAAGTATCCATACAATACCTTCCTGGGATTTTGATTGAGGTCGAACTCAATGTATAGAAGATGTTGGGAAAAACTGGCATCTTAAAACTTTGAAATTTTGAATTCTTGAACACACAGAATCTCAATTACTAGATCATGTTTACCTTCAGCAGTGTTATGCAGTGTTTTGGATGTACATCCTGTTCAGTTTGTTAACTTTACATCTAGATATTTATTTGAATCATTTAGATCATTCTTTATTTTTCAACTTTTAATTATTTGTTAGTACTATATAAGAAAATATTTGATTTTTGTATGTGAATTGTTGGTCCTACTAATTTTCAATAGTCACTTCTTATTTCATGTTTATTTTATTTACCTTGTCATTTTACACAAAGTGTTTCTTTTGTAAACAATGACATTATTATTTCATCCTTCCCAGTCTGTATATCTTATGTTTTGTTTTCTTTTTGTTTTCTTAGTGCACTAATCTGAATTTTCTACATGAAGTTGAAAAGGAATGGTAATAGAGTGTATCATTTCCTCCTTCCCTACCTCAGGAATAAATTCTCCAGCTTCTAGCTAATTACTGTGATGTTAAGTATAGGTTTTGTTGATATGGTTTATTAAGTGGAGGAAGGTTTCCTTCTTTTCCTGTTTGAAGATCATTTTTATCATAAATGATGCTAGAGTTTTCATGCTCTTTATATCCATTAGTATAACAATGATTTTTTCTTCTATGACCTGTTAATGTAGTAGATTTCATTTATTTATTTTCAAAACCTGAACAAGCTTTACATACATGAAATGTATTCCACTTTGTTGTGATGTAAACATTTCGTATCTTGTTGCATTTAAGTTGCTAATATTCTGATGGAAGTTTTATAACTGTGCCCCTTAGAGATCCTGGTCTTTGGTTTTCTTGTGATATGTTTATCTGGCTTGCACATTGGAATAATGGTGACCTCATATAATAAACTATGAAATATTTCCTTGTGTCTTCTCAAGCTAACTAAAGAAAATTAAAATTTTTTCATTAACTACTGAGCTCCACTCAGAAATAAAACCATCTTGATGTAATTTGGAAGATTATTGGCTAGCAATTCAATTTCTTGTGTAGATATTATAATTCAGATTTTCTGTTTCTCATTGTGTAAGTTGAGCAGCTTGTGTTCATTTCATCTAAGTCAAATTTACAGTCAAAATTTTTTCATAGTATTATTTATTATCCATGCAAGAAGTCAATACGACCTTCCCTTCATTTATATTAGTAAGTTGTGCCTTCTCTATTTTTGAAGCACCTGTGTACAAACTTGTTAATTGTTGACCTTACAAAAGAAACAACTTCCTGTTTTACTAATTTTCTCTCCATTGGTCTTAGTCACTTCTCTTGTTACTGGAATACAATACGCAACACCCATGACCCAAAAGAGGAGATGTTCAGTTTGGCTGACAGTTGTTGGTAGCGGTTTCAGTTCATAATAACCTCCGTCCAGGGCGGGATCTTGTGGCACAGTGGCATGGCAGCGAGGAGTTGCTCAAGGCACAGCATACAAGAAGCAGAAAGGACATTTAAGAGAAGAAACAGGAAGAGAAATAAATCAGGCCAGGCAACACCCCCAGGGACCAAACACATCCCATTAGACACAGCCTCCTAATAGCAAGTCAGTTGTAAGCCCTGATAATCCACTTTCCAAAAGCCTCATGCGTGAACGCAGAAGGCTCTGGGGGTGGGGGTGAAGGTGGGGGTGGGGGCATATGGATACAAACCGCAACAACGTTGCTCTCAATTTCATTGATTTCCAGCTGAATTTTCATTCTTTTTTTCTTCTGCTTGAAAATTTTCCTTTAAATTGCTAAATGGTTCTTCCATTTCTAGTTTGTTACCTGGGAAATTTAAAATTTTGAATATATATATATAGAGAGAGAGAGATAGACAGATAGATAGATATAGATAATCTTATTTTCCTAAATACATATTTAACTCTGAACAATTTTTAGTTGCTGTATCCAGCAGATATTGAGTTTATATTCTCATCATTTTTTAAACCGTATTTTAAATTTCTTTGAATAATTTATTATTGAAATATATGTCATGTAAGGTCCCAAATCTTTGAAATTTTCCCTTTTGCTTAAATATGTAATTTTATTCCACCATTGTCTAAGAACATACTTTGTATGATTTCTATTATTTTGAATCTTATAACACATATATTTTTTTTTCTGTGCATGGTTGTGCACACCTGTAATTCCAGTACTCAGGAGGTTGAAGCAAGAGGACTGCTATAAGTTCAAGGCAGGTCTGGGTTATAGAGGGAGTTCAAGGCCAGCCTGAACTGCATAATGAAATCCTATCTCAAAAAACCTCTCTCTTTCTCTCTCTCTCTCTCCCCGTCTCTCCCTCTCTCTCTATATATGTATATATATAAAATATACATATATTTATAATGATTTATTTTATGTTTATGTTTACAAATATATATTTAAAATTACCTAGTATAGAAAAATATTATATAATTTATATACAGAGAATATGTAATGTGTGTAATATAATATAAAATATAATTGCATATATTATATGTATAAAATAATATAATGTATAATATATATTATGTACATGTATAGAGGTATGCATTCCACATATATGGAATATGGTCCCCTCAGTAAATATTCTATGTAAGTTTAAGAATATAGATTCTCCCATTGTTGGCTGGAGTACTCTATAATTTGGATCAGTTTGATTGATAATATTCAAGGCAACCATATGCAGTGAAATTTGTCTTCTGGATTTATCTCTAATTGAGAGAAAGATGGCATTTCTAACGATAATACTCTATTTGTATAATTATACTTGCAGTTATATTTGTTTTGTTTCATGTATTTTGACATTTTGTTTCATGGTACAATCGCATTATTGCAATATTGAGAAAAAATAATCCTTTCTTATAACTGGCTAATTTCCTTGCTCTGAAACCTGCTATTAATATAATCACTATAGACTCCTTTCAATTACTATTGATATATTGTATATTTTGTGATCTCTTCAACCTGAGCATATCAATATTGATATTGAGAAGTGATTTCTGTACATGCAATGCATTTGGGTCTTTTTACTTAATTGACTGTGACTATTTCTTGGCCAATTTATTCATATAATTCATACTCACATTACAAATGATTGTATATCTAGACTATATTTACCAAGTCATAAGAGGTTTCGACTTGCACAACTTGTCCTTTACCCCAAATTTATCTCTGTCTCCTCCAATTTTAATAGAGAATTGTGTGTGATTTCCTTGACTCAGTCTACTCTGACCCTCCATCCCCACTCCACACTTTCTCAGCTCAGGCCCACCCTGCTTTTCCCTGCCTGTCTCTCTCCCCTTTGTGCATCTCCCCATCTCAGCTCTCTACCTTCCCCTCCCCTCCCTCCGGCCTCTCCTTCCCTTATTTACTCTCCTGTCCTCCCCTTCATCTCCTGCCTCCTCTCCTCCTTTCTCCTCTCCTTTCTCCTGTATCTCTCATTCCTCTCTTTCCCTCTGCTCTTTCTCCCCTCTTCTTTCACCTCCATTATGTGAACGTGGAGAGCAGACTGTTAAATTTCTGCTGTAGTTACAGACTTCAGATGTTTCCCATTCCTCTAGTGTCTTCATTTTGTCTTCGCTATTTTCTTTCCATTTCACTGTACGAATATTAAAATGTATGGCCCTGCAAGAGACTTGCGCGAGGATGAAAATGCAAGCCACAGAACTGGGAGAAAATATTTGTAACATATTGAATCTACAGCATGCTTAATGAATTCAAGTAAATCAATAAACAGTATAAAAACTCAGGAGTTAAAAGTGGGCAAAGACTCAATATTAAAACTATGTATCTGTTTACACATTGGATGGATTCATCTATCAATTAGGAAACAGACAAAAATATGTTTAGTTTCATAGTTCTTAGGAAATGCCAAATACAAGGGCAATAAGGATATCACAGCGCATTCAGAAAGGTATAATACAAATCAAATTGATATTTCTGAAAGTATTTTCGAAGTGAAGCAACTAAAATTTAAAGTGAAAATATCAGGATAATTTAAGCAATATGTGATAAAATTACAATTTCTTATAAAATAGCTTTAGAAGATATATACCAAACACAATTATCTATACATTTACAATAATAGAAAAGACATAAAAATACTCCAAACTTAGAAAAAAATAAATATTCAACAATAAAGTAACTAGGTGAATTTTATTTATCTGAAGAAATATTATGCAATAGAAATAAATGAGATATTGAAATCCAAAACAAGAATATAAATCTTAAATAAGTAATACTAAGCAAATGAATCCAGAAAAAAAAGAATATCCATTGTAAAATTTCATTTGTAAAGTTAAGAAATGGGAAAAAATTGTGGGGTTAGAAACTGACAGCTACTGTTGGGGATGAGGAAACTTTTAGTGACTAAGTGAGAGCATGAGTGAAGCACTGACAAGTAAGTATGTCCTGGTGAGTGTGGAAGCATCCAACTGCGATGGATCATCTCTGAGGAAGAGCCAAGCCTTCCTTTCTCCAGCTCTGCTCTACTTTGGACTAAAACATTCCCTGAAGCCCTGTATTGGGTGGTGCCATTGTGAGGTCATAGAACCTTCGAGAAGTGGAGCCTGGTGGGAGCTTTAGGGCACACGAAGCACTCTGGAAGGGCATGTTGTGACCCTGGTGCCCTCCTTTTTCTCTTTTGCTCCTGGCTGCCCTGGGGTAAACAGACTCTTTGAGATACACGCTTGCCATGATATACTGCCTCAGCACAGGCCCAAAAGGCATGGGATCAAGAATCAAGAGCAAAAGTCTTCTGAAGTTGTGAGGTAAAAATAAACCTTTTCTTCATCTCAGGTATTTTATTTCAGCAAAGCTGACTACAGCACTATTTCATGGGAGAATGCAGGTATTTTCCTCAAGGAAATATTAAGGGAATGATTTTACACATGATATTCCACTTGAATTTCCCACCTTCACTTAGAGTGTGCACAATGAGTTCTCCTTTCTAGGAAGGCTTAATGGCAGAGCAGGGGAATACATCTCAGTAATCTTGATCAGTCTGTCACCAGAACTGTCAAACAGATTGCAACACCTCCTCTATCTCCATCCTCTGATACAATCTCATTTCATTTTCTTTTCTTTGTAAATGCTTAGCCTTCCTAGGATATTTCAATTCTTAGACTTCTTTTTGTGAGCGTGTGAAGAAAGTCACATTGTCCTAGTGAGGGAACTTCGGGCATCTGTAATGAAGGTCCTTGACATATTAATATTTTTTATATCACCAAGGTAAAAATGAAGTTGAGAAAGTGTTTTTTGCTGGGGAAATTGTTGTAATAATTATGTGGTATGTGACATATTTTCAAAAGTTCTAAGTGCAAAAACACTCTTTTTAATGCCAACTATGTGAGGCAAATGAAAGTGAAAATTCTAGTCTGACAGTTTATACAAAACATAACTTCTCTTCCAAGTCCAAATTGGATTTCAATTTTTCTTAATGGTTACCAAGTTCCAGACATGCGTAGTGCAAAAAGCATCGTAGAAACATCCCTCAGTATCCATAGGAAGTCATTCCAGGAACCTCATTCCACTCCACTCCACTCCATTCCTGTGATACCAAATCTGTGACTGCTCAAGCCCCTTGCACAAAATGATATAATATTTACATAGAGCCTTTGTACATCCTCCAGTCAACTTTAAGTCATTTCAAGATTATTTATTTACCTAATACAATACAAATATTATGTAAAAAGTTGTAATAGTGTTTTGTGTAGAACATAAAGATAAGAAAATTGTTTATGTTTATCACAGATCCAATATGGTTTCTTCTATTTTAAAGAGAGTAGTAAATGAGAAACAAACAAAAAAATAGAACAGTAGCAGCATACCACTATCATGAACATAAACAAATCAGAGCAAGAACATTCAAAGTGATATAGAGTCTCAAGACAAAAGAATACAAATCAACAGTGCTTCTTACATTACATATTGCTATTCTCAACTATATTGCTTTTATTTTTTTATTTTTTAATTTTTTTTTGGTTTTTCTCTGGTACCGGGAACCGAACTCATGACCTTGTGGTTACCAGGCAGGCGCTTTTGCCACTGAGCTATATCCCCAGCCCAACTATACTGCTTAGATTACCAGACATAAGAATGAAAGATTGCTCAAACCATTAAAGAGAATAAGAAAATAATTCTTTGATAAAACATTAGAGATAATACAGAGTTTCACTAGACAAGATGCTAGGAGTTCACCATTATAATTATTGTTAATCTATAGTTCATTGAACCTGCAGGTAGGATCTCTTAGATATGGAGGGCCAAGTGTTTACCTGTAATGTCTCAAATTTTTCTTAATATTATCTCTCTACTTTGTGATGCCTGATGCTGGCATCCAGCTGTCTAATGTTACTTCGCAGGACAATATCCACACTTTTAACATTGCTTTTATGGTCATTTTGCTTCCTATATTTCAATATCTGGATTGCTAAAAGAAATGAACATGGTACTCACCACACATTATCAGATTCATTAAAAGGCTAAAGGGACACTGAGTGAAGGAGACATAGAACTTATCAGTTCAAGTAAAACCAACAAACAAAAAATGAATTAAACTATGCAGGAGCTGACACTTCATCTGAGAAGTGTACACCTGTAGTAGGGAATATAATTTCACTAACTCTAAGCAACCATGGAACTGTATATTTTAGAATGTAGAAAATGGTAATGGACACTAAAATCTCAAAGGAAGAAACTGTGCCACTGGAAAACTGAAAACACAATCTTCACATTGCCATAATATTAATATATATGTTCCAGCACCCTATGATGAGTGGAATCATTTATGTAGTACAAACACATGTAAATAAATTTTTTTAAATCTTATTTTTAAAAGGTTAAATGTATAATGGGTATAGAACAGAGAATACTGTTAACAAATATTTGCTCTTGTCCCAATTCCTGCTCTAAGAATTAAAGCACTTTTAAAGTGTAGAGTGCTTTCTATTTTACTAAAGATACCTAATCTGTAGAAAACCTTATAGGAATATAATTTAAGTCTTATTGTTACTATTTTATGAATGGTGAAATTGAAATGTGACAAACTCAGTCAGTGTCCAAGCCACAGATCTGGTATAGGATTAATGGGAGAACTACATTCTGAACTTCAGTTTTGGAGATCATCTTAGAATTTTCAAAATCTTAGGAAAAAATGGAGGGCATTATCTATGGAAAAGTAGTACAGAGTCCTTGAAATATAGAAAACACATTTCTCATCATGAACTCCCAATTTGTAAGATCCATAAATTTTGGGGTATGTTTTACTAATAATACAAGTCTATAGTTAGGTGCAGAAGCAAGCAAAACCATCCACCAGATGTAAATATAACTATTCTCCACAATATTCACAGGTAGCAACTATAGCAATGCACTTTCCTTTTTTTTCCAGTGACAAATTTTTTATATTTAAAAACAAACCCAACCTTCCCCTGCAAAGCCCTCAAACAAAAAACTAAATTAAATAAAATTTGCAGTGAATATACTCAGCAAACATCACAGTATATGCAATTAAATACTGTGTCTGTTACTGGGGCACGAACCTCAGACAAACAAGATGCAAGTGTTGTGGGAGTGGGCGAATCCCATTTTACCTGTGGAGTTTGAGGAGACAAGATCGGAGAAGAGAAAAAATGGGGAAATCAAATTTTTTCTTCATCCAGTCCATATAAATATATTAATAAAGACTAAAATAAGAAAGGGAGCCTCGTATGGTGAAATACAAGAGGGAGTGTGGTATTTTCCCAATTCTACCTGACCAAAAATTATAAAAGAAATTAATTTCATGGGGGAAGAAAAGATAAAAATTGATAGAAGCGAACAGGAAGGAGAAGGAAGCAGAGGGGCAACCAGAGAGGAATTGGCACCCATGGCAGGGGAGTGTGGAAGGGGCCGGTGCCAGTTAGAGTCTGCTTCTTCATCCGTAAGATCTGAGGCTTTAGTCTGGTGTCCATCTCCTTACTTCCCACCCCATTCCATGTCGCCCTGCCCCCCGCCAGTCTCCACCCGTTTTCTGTTTATTGGGAGATGGCTCACTCCGGGATTCTCAGGTCATAGTTTTTCTTTTTTTTCTAAACAGAAAAGTAAATAGATACTAATAGAATTGAAACACATTTCTCTAGCTTTCCCAGTAGGTATGCATAAGAACTAGAATTGGAGTCATTCTAATTCTAGGTACTGAAATTTTTTTTTTTTTTTGGTTTTTTCTCCGGTACCAGGAACCGAACTCAGGACCTTGCGCTTGCCAGGCAGGCGCTTTGCTGCTGAGCTAAATCCCCAGCCCCGCTAGGTACTGAAATTTTTAAAACTATGCTGTGCTATTCCTGCAGTCATCTGTAAAATGAGGGAGTAAGTGAGGGTCTTTGTCTCCCACGTGACTGCAGAATGTCAATCACCAGTACCTCCAAGAGACCAGTAAAAATGTTGGAGCAGATCATTTCAAAGATTTTTACTTACGGCTTGATATGTATGCTTGCCCTAATTTTTTCCCTAATATCTCCATACAGTAAGCATTCTAAAAACATTTGCAAAGTGGAAAATGGCAAGTCCAATGAATCATTTTCGTTATTTGTTAAGTATAATTTATCAGCAGCCATATTTGACCAAATTTCTTGGGTTTTAATTTTTAGGGGTTGCTCATATATTTCTGACTGATTTTCACTTGATTTATTCTCTACTATAGGCATATGGGAGTTCTTTCCTGTCCTACTAAAGCTCAGTACACTAGCATTAAAACATATTCATGTTTCTTCTGTTTTTTTGCTCTCTTCTTTCTCTTTCTGCTTTTCCTTTTAATTGTTAGGTCATATATATGAAAAAGAGGCTTAGGACTTATAAAGCTAAAGATGGTGCACATCCTTATACCTTTTGGAAGTTGACATAAACTGTACAAATGACCTTCAGCTGCTTTAGCAGGGTCAGGCAGGTGACACGGAAGCTAATGGCTCCTACTCCGTAATTGGCAACCTGTGGATTCATGTTAACATCTACTGTGATATTTGGTATCTTGTGTTTAAAAGGATCAAAGAGCTCTGAGAAATCCTGAATACAGAGAACTGTAAATAGTTGGGACTTCACTCTTAACCTCTTCACAATGAACTAGCAGTGAGCATCATATTGGGTTTCCCAAATAACACTGAAGTAGTTTCCCAGGAGTTTTCTCTTACATGAAGCCAGACGATGCCTTCTATATCCAATAAACCCATTTCCACACTGTATTAGGAGTGTATTGCAGCAAGTGAAATAGCTTCTCAACCAAAACAAAGGAATCTAGGGAAAATTTAATGGCCTTGCCTTGTTTTCTGTCTCACATAATGCTGTATGATAATATGCCACTATTTCCTCAGTCTCCTGTCGAGTTTATACTGTATTTCTTTTTGCTTATTTTCTAACCCAGAAAACAGTAACAAAATTGTTTCATCTCTGCCAAGTAGTAAGTACTGGCTCACTTGGTATATCAGTGAATCACATTTTCTCTTAAAATTGTCGGGTTTCTAATATTGTGTACTGAATTCCAGAGAAAAGAATTGAATGTGCAAAACTCCCTCTGATCTACATTCAATGTTATGTGCAGTAGTGTGTATTATGTGGAAGAAATCTCATCTTCATGCCAGAGGAAAAAAGATAACATAGTTTCAGCTATTCATCAAAAATCTATTGCAAAGTTTTTTGTTGACTGAAATCAATGTCCTAACCAATGGCATCAATTTAATGTGACTCATCCTTTTGAGGGGAATGGAGGGAGGAAGAAGAGATTTTGGCATAAATGACT